CTGCGCGCGTGCGCGTGTGCGCGGCAGCGCCGGCCGTTGGCGCGCATGCGCGCGGGGCTGAGGCGGCCGCGCGTGTGGGGAGAGGGAGGGGACCGTGGGGTCGGTGTGAGGGGCAGAGCCGCCCGGGGAGCCCCTGCAGGGCGCCTGGACGGCGCTCCCGGGCTGGAGACCTGGGGATCGTCTGCCCCGGTGCTGAAGGGCTGGGCTTCTTCTGTAGCCTCAGTGTGTAAAATATAACRCCTGAGCGGAACGGAACGCTCTTTGAGCAGAACGAGCGTGTTGTGCGGGCGGGAGCGCGTCTCCGGAGCTGGCACAGAGCTTCGGCAGGCGCGGTTACCTTCTGCCTTGGTTACTGGCACCGTCACGCAGTGCTCGGCAGGGAGGCTCCGCTCCGGGTGCGTGGGCGCGCTGGAAGCCACGCTGAGCGGGTGGGCAACGCTGTCTCCCGTCACCGTGYGCGCCCCGGAGCACAGAGCTCCACGCAGTGTGAGCACGCTGGGCTCTGCAGGGCCCGAGCTGCGGGAGCCAGTCCTGGCTCCGGCCCAGGATGAGGCCGCAGCCGTCTGGGCTGCACGCGCAGCAGCCGCGGTCACCAGCACCCCGTGCACTGMAGCCCTCCGCGCTGCCTGGGCCGTCGCGGCACCGGTGTGCGAGGAGAGGAGGAGGGGGAAGGTCCCCAGCAGTAGCATGAAGCACTCTGCCTGGGCAGAGTGTCCGTGCGGGCAAGGATCCAGGGCTCCGCTCTGCTCCCTTCCGTGGAAGCTCTCTGTAAACAAAGGTTTCTGCTCGCTGCTGGCTGGAAGTCCGGGGAGGAGACAAGCACATGGAGCCGACAGGACGGAAAATCTGCTATTTCTCCCATGCTATTTGTATGCAGCACGGAAGAGCAGCTGCCGTCACGTCTAGYGAGAGACTCGGGCAGCAGGGGGTCGTTCTAGCCCTGCAGATCCCCGGCTCAGGCTCATGAGGGGCAGCTGCTGAGCCGGGCGACCTTCGAGGCATTTAAACCTCCAAATGCTTCACCGTGGCCTCGCGTGCATTGAGTACAAGTGAGAGGAGCCCTGCAGACCCCTGAGCAACGAGCCTTGCAGGGCGATGGGAACAGGAATCACRGCAACACCTCCAGAGAGTGATGGGAATCCAGGAAACACGGATCTGCGGGAGGTGAGGAAGGGCGTCACTCTGCCSGGTTTGTCCCAAGATGGTCACTCAGGCCTCACTCAACCCCCATTCCGACACTTGGGGTGGCCCCCAGAGCAGCAGGGCCAGCGCCGCGAGCTGCCTGGGTAGGAGAGCGGGAGGGGAAGGGGCTGGCTGAGGCCGGGGCGCTGAGGGGCCGTTCGCTGGGTGCCCCTCGTCCCCGCAGGCCGCGTGGCCGGCGCCGCCGCCCC